ACGGAATTTTCTCTTGCTTCAAGTTACAAGCTATATTCAGTTAGTTCACAGACAAAATATGGAAACTTCACTAGAAATCCTATTTATACCAGCGCGATCATAAGAGCCCCTTCCTTTCGACCTTAGTTTGCAAATCAAAAATTAACCAAATTGAATTTAAAACAAAGAATTCTCAAAATGCAGGCGTATATCGGGCTAAAACGACATATCAGAAGATAGTTTATACATCAAGGAGGTAATAGATTGCCTCAAACCCGCGGGTATCTCTCTAGCTTTCATCCACCATCATCTTGAAAACAACGCAAATCAATGTCTTTACTTAATCGCGCATGTGTCAGAGGTCATTTGCTTAATTCTGAAAATGACCCATGATATGTCTTTCACCGTTCAAACCTCATTTCTTAATCATCTACGTAAAGTATTTTAGGTTTTCTTAACAAATGGATGGAAAATAAATTGCGAGTTATCCTAAAACGTGGCATAAATATAATCAGTCTTAACGCTTGCATGACAAAGTAAACAAAGGTGATCGGACGGCGCTTCCTCGATAATTTTCCTTGAATCAAGTCAATAGCCACGTACAGAGTGGAGAAGATCAAAATTATAGAGTCCAATTTGGCATTATGATCACTGCAGACATACTTTGCAGCTTAAAAAGGACACACAGACACATGTACGTTACGGTGTTCTTTACAAATTAACCTTCTGCGAGAATTCTTGCAGTTTCTACCGAGGTTTAGTACACGGAATGCAGTCAACGGGCCCTCCTTTCTGAACATCTGCTGCCATCATTAGAGACTTTATGTTGTTACAGTCCTCAACGTTGTTGTGCGCCAAATTTAACCTTTTCCTGCAACTATCAAAACCAGCAAGGCAAATATGTATTGTATTGACTATGCTAATTAATTGTCACTTCATGTGATGCAAATGTTGGTAATTACTAATTTATTACCTCTGGTAATTAATAAGTATAAAGTCGAGGTATATGAGCATAAAGATTATTTCGTGAATAGTAGATCAGACTTTCCGATTGTTCAAACGTAAGCGTGACAACTTTTCAGTTCTGAGGTAATTTTTTGATGATAAGGATATCCAAGCAGAGAATAATAGCGAGACGTTGGTAATCCCCTCGCCACACTTCCCATCGTTACAATGCTAAATTTCTTTGTCTCAATACTTTTGTCTTAAAATGCATGACACATTTCGCGATGAAATCAGTCGAAGTTAGGGACCGGTCATTATTTATAATCCGGGAGGGGTACAGGGGGGAATCGGAGGATTTTGGTAGTATTACAATAAATTCCACCTAGACTGTGATATTCGTATAACCCCCACCTCACAATGGCGGTGAATTGGGAGTCTATTTTCATCAGTCCCTATTTAAAGTCTGTTGGTGACAACTTATCGTTTCCCTTAAAAACCGCGTGATCCCCCCAAAATCCTCCACCCCTGGCAATAAATAGTGACAGGTCCCTTTGCTCCTGTTTTCACTTACTATTCTCACAGTGAATGTAACTTATCTCCGCATATAAAATACCTGAGAGCTAGTTAATGTAGCGATCGAAAGTCGTGAAATGGAATGAAGCACAGAGTTAGAAATAGCCTTCCGAAATTTCTTGGAAACACGTGCATTCGGTTACCATGTCCCTTCGTTTCTTGAGTAAAGTGGCCTTCAAATCTCTCCCTTTGAAAGAAAGTTCAAAAAAGCAAACATTTCCCTCAATGTGGTGACTTTAAAGGCCCATTTTCATCCGAGATCCTTTGCAGTCGTTTGTTTTTGTTTTGGAAACGCGCTATTGTTAAATGGCGAACTCTGATAGTCATTCACAAACACTATTAAAAGAAATAATTTGGATATATCAAACAAGAATAGATTGGAATGAAAAAGTGGTACGTTTTGAGCACGGTAAAGACATAGAGAAAGATGTTTTTTGTCTCGTTACGACCGTGGGAAAACGACAAAATTGCGAGCCCGCATGGGGAATCAAACCTCAGACCACTGAGCCACAGAGACTCTATAGTGAGCGGAGTCCATATATGACACGCGTCCTGCATACTGCTAGGATTGGCCGGGTTAATATTTTTGCGCTTTATGTCCTGAGACGAAGTCGAGATCCATTAAAATGGAACAAAACGGGGCTAACGTCCGGCCATATTGACCAAACAAGCATGGGCAATAAAGGATCTATCTTACGGTAAACAGTTTTCGCTTTATTAAGATAAAGAATGGATTGTCTATCTTGAGGAATGGAACCCAAATGTTCTTGTAGCACGATAAACCCACAAAATTCTTTTGCGTTTCCTTTGTTTTGACTGTCTTCTCCCGGTTTTTGCGTCTCCACCGCAGACAAAATTAAAAAACCACGAGCTCAGTAACTTTGATTCACGCAGTATTGGTTCTTTACGGGATCAAAATGGGCAAGAGGCTAATCTTGCCCGCTTTAATCCATATTATTAAGAGCCCAAGCCACTTCCATTAAGACCTATTTCAGTGGAAAAGTAAAGCAATGGAGTAAAACTCTCCTATCTGCATTTATCACACGCCTCTAATGAGAAATCGCATAACACTTTACATCACCACCCCTCGTACCAGATTAATTCTTTAGTATTTGCTCATAGTTCTGTCGATTCTATTTCAGACATCAACGAGTGTGTTATGAATACCCACAGCTGCAGTGATAAAAATGCTACTTGTAAAAATACCAAAGGATCGTTCAAGTGCATTTGTAATCCTGGATTCAGCGGGGATATCGACAATTGTACAGGTAATGAACATTGTTCAGAGCATGATGCATAGTCCAAACTAACCTATGGTAGAAACATACATTTTATAATACTAATTATAAGGAGATTCGAGTATCATAGTTAGGATAATTTAGGTTTTCTCCCGTCAGAGCTGGATTAACATGCAGCAGACTTGGTTTTCCATCGCAAATTAACAACCGCCCCTTCCCCATCCCCTCCTCCTTTTCATGATAACAACCATGGGTATGGCTCTTTGATTTCATTTCCACTCATTGCTAAAGATGAAAGCGATCATGGGTACGATCCATTGACTTTATTTCAGACATCGACGAGTGTGTTACAAATACTCACAACTGCAGCAAGAACACCCACTGTACAAATACCGAGGGATCTTACAGCTGCTCTTGTAATCCTGGATTCAGCGGGGATATAGACAATTGCACAGGTAATGACCATTGCGCAGAGCATGATGCATAGTCCTAGCTAACCTATGGTAGGAATCCGCGTTTTAAAATCCAAATTTTAAGGTACCTCGAGTATCAGATTTCAAATATTAAGCCTTTCTCCCGCAGATTTGGAATAGCATGTGGCAGAGTCAGTTCTCCTTTGAAAACTAGCAATACCCCTCCCCCGCCCACCTCCTTCTTTTGAAGATAATAATCATGGTTATGGTCCTTTGATTTTATTTCAGACATCGACGAATGTGTTAAAAAAACCCACAACTGCAGCAAGAACGCCAAATGTACAAACACCGAGGGATCCTACAACTGCTCTTGTAATCCTGGATACGGTGGGGATGGACATAAATGTCAAGGTATAATACAGCAGAGCATGACATGATATTATTTAAGATAAGGACATTTATGTCTTCTTTGGGGTCAGAATAAGTTTGAGCCACTCTCCATTGGTAAGGTATAGTCTGTTTACGAGCCAAATGGCCCATCAAACCTGCACTTAACTCCGGTTTCCGTAGCATGAAGCGACCATGGGCACTTCTACTCCCCCGTGGATAGGATGCAGCGCTACCCCGACAGCATTGAATTCGCCGGTATCTATTAAAAACACCTGGGTGAAGAAAGGCACCATGAGAGTCAGAGTTGAGAGCACCAACCATGAGGCCACCACACCTCTCAAAATAGAAGTGAGGTTAAAATTTTGTTTTCCTTACATCACCTTCTGCTTTCTGTTTTTCTTTC